CCAGGCAGCTGGGGTATACTGCAGCCTGGGTGCCCTCAGAGATGCCTCCTCCTCTCTCCTCGTCCCCTGAGCTCTCTGACAACCCTCCCCATGCCTCCCCCCACCACGGCCCCCCTGGCCCAAGATCATGTCCTCATCACGAAGTTCATGCGAACCCAGATTCCAGTCCCAGCCCTGTCCCCTGTCCTCCTGAGCTTCACTTTTCCAATCACAGAGTGAGCGAATACTATGTCCTCAGCTGGGCACGGAAAGCACTATCGTGAACAGCTATGCAACCAGGAGGGGTTTCAGCAGCTGATGGTCTTCCGGCCACGCAAACTGTCCTTGCGTGGAGGACGGCAGCGGTCCAGCCAGTGGAAGCTGGATGGAGTCGTGTGCACAGAGAGGTAGTGGCTACGCAACACTCTCCGAGGACGACCACGGATCTCCTCGGTTCTGCAGCCCTGGCCCTCAGTCCCCAAAGCAGAGGCCTGCTCCTCCCAGGAAAAGAAACTAAATGGAATTGGCGCTTCTGAGGGGCACGCTGGGGCCTTTGGGGGCAGGACTGCTTTTTTCCAGGCCAAGCTGCTCAAGAAGAGCCTTGACAGCCACAGGCAAACACACCTCCAGCCAAGGTCAAGGACTGTCCGTGTGCCACTCCAGCTGGACAGCTCCAGCACCGCCAGAGGGTTTCTGCAGGGGAAGGGACCTGTCCCTTAAAATCTCTGCAGCAGGGCACCTGGGTGGCTCAGTTGGTTAAGTGTCTAACTCTTGCTTTTGGCTCAGATCATGATCTCACTGTTTCGTGAGCTTGAGCCCTGCATTGGGCTCTGTGTGTTCTCTCTCTCTCTCTCAAAAATATTTCAAATAAACACTTTAAAAAATCTAACCAGGGGCACCTGGGTAGCTTAGTCAGTTAAGCATTCAACTTCAGCTCAGCTCTTCTGGTTCGTGAGTTCGAGCCCCGCGTTGGGCTCTGTGCTGACATCTCAGAGCCTGGAGCCTGCTTCAGATTCCGTGTCTCCCTCTCTCTCTGCCCCTTCCCCACTTATACTCTGTCTCTGTCTCTCAAAAATATATAAACATTGAAAAAAAAATTTAATCTAAGCAGCCTCTTCCAACCTCCAAAACACTTTTTAAAATGTAATAACAAACAACAAATTGGGTCAGGAAAGAAAAGACGTCTACCACAATTATGAATACAAAGGACGCTGTCCTTGAGCAAACTGACAACACAATCATTAAGATTGTCAATAGATAAGTGAACAAGGACGTGAACAATTTCCAGAAGGAAAAGCTGTAAAACACACGAGTGTATTTTTCTACTTTCTTTTTTACTTATTCCTAGTGTCTTGGTGTTCCTCAAAGAACATCGATATTGTTTTGGCAATCGGAAAAGAATGATTTTATTAATCTAGACAGCGTTTTCAAGAAAGGCCTAAAGCTTCTTCCTTGCTGTCATGTTCTACGACCAAACAGCACCCAACGTGCACTTAGGCATCAGAAGGCGACAGACATTTGGCACATACATTCGGAGCCAGCCTGAGCTCAGACGGGAGGGCTGGGAGTGGGGACATGAGAGGAGAGAGCAGGCCCAGAATGTGCAGGAAGAGAAGGGAGGTTGTGGTCCAGGGTCTACTGTCAGATGTCCTGGGTTTAGGTACCGGCTTGGCTACTGAGCAACTATGTGACCTTGACCCACGCACCCACAGCTAGAGGAGTTCACATAACTGTAAACTGGGGGCAATTGTACCTTTAAGGGTCGTTGTGAGAAGTTACTGAGATGATGTACGGGAATGACTCAGCACTGTGCCTGGCACATGGTAAACATTCAGTAAATGGAAGACACCATTTGCATAGTCACTATGACGGAAAAAAAGCTCATTCCAGGGGCGCCTGGGTGGCTCAGCTGGGTAAGCGTCCGACTCTTGATTTTGGCTCAGGCCATGACCTCACAGTCTGTGGGTTTGAGCCCTGTGTCAGGCTCTATGCTGCCAGCACAGAGCCTGCTTGGGATTCTCTCTCTCCCTCTCCCCCACCCCACCCCTTCTCTCTCTGACTCTCTCACTCTCTCTCAAAAATAAATAAACATTAAAAACAAAAGGAAAAGACTCATTTGGAGCAGGGCTGAGCAACATCAGATGGGATTTTAGTCCTGGTACTAAGTTTACTATGTGGCCTTGGGTGAGTCACATCACTCACTTGTTCTTAGACTGTCCCCATTGACCTGCTGGGGGCTCAGCAAGGTCACAGCTCACTCTCCTAGTGACACCCTCGCCCAGGGGTGTCCCGGTAACATGGCACCTTGCAGAGGTGCTGTGGCTCCGAGCCCAGACTCTGAGGGTAGGAGGCTCTCCGCCTCCGGGCAGCCCTCCCTTCCCCAAGGAAATGACTTCTTGTTTGGACCTCTCCACCATTTCCATGGAGACAAGAGACAAAGCAAGAGGGTATTGAAAAGCCTTCCTTCAGGAAAAGGCTCCTCCCCTCCCCAGGGAGCCCACAGTCCAGTGACTCACTTTCCTAGATCCACAGAAACCAAAGGGATTTCCCATCCCAGCGGCCACCGGGCCATTCTGGGGAAAGGAAATGGGGCCGGGCAGCCCTCTGACACCCTAAGGAGCCAGTCCCACCCAAGCGTTGCCCTGCTACACCCAGTCAGCTTCTTTCTGGGCGGCTGCAGATCCCTCCTCTCCTGCAGTGTCGGCTCGTTCCTTCCATACAGGAGGAATTTCCCATAATTCCTGCTGTGGGACCCGAGCCCTCAACCAGAGAGGACAAAACCTCACAAAGAAGGCCTGGAATGCCTGGTCTCTTCTCTTGGTGGAACTCGGACTCGCGCCACACACCCAGCGGGACACGTCAGGACTCAGGCTGTGATGCTGTTTCCAACAACGCCCCTCCTGACTCTGGGGCGGGGCCGCGTTAGGCCAGCCCCCACTCCTCAAAGTGTCTTGTTGGATGCTCTTTTATTTTTTAATATTTTAAAGAGAGAGAGCATGTGCATGAGCAAGGAAGGGACAGAGAGAGGGGCCGGACAGAGGATCTGAAGCGGGCTGTGCACTGACAGCAGAGAGCCCTTCACGGGTCTTGAACTCACAAACCATGAGATCATGACCTGAGCCGAAGTCGGACACTTAACCGCCCAGGTGCCCCTGGATGCTCTTCTTGCCCCTCCTCTCTGTACAGCTGGGCCCTCCCTTAGTGCCCAGGCCCCACCCCCACATGCCCAGGGCCCCTGCATTACCACGGGGACAGTGTGCACATTGGAATCTTGGGTACAAACACCAGTTCTGTCACTGGCTGGCTGGGTGATGTTAGGCAAGTCATTTAATCTTGTGAGTCTCCGGGGCACCTGGGTGGCTCAGTCGGTTAAATGTCTGGCTTCGGCTCAGCTCATGATCTCACCGTTTGTGGGTTTGAGCCCCGTGTCGGGCTCTGTGCTGACAGCTAGCTCAGAGCCTGGAGACTGTCTTTGGATTCTGTGACTCCCTCTCTCTCTGACCCTCCCCTGCTCACGCTGTCTCTATCTCTCTGTCAGAAATAAATAAAAACATTTTAAAAAATGAAATAAAGGTTTCAGGAAACAGAGCTTTTTTTAAAAAAAAATCATGTGAGTCTCCACTTACTCGTCTGTAAAATGGGAACAATGGGTACATGATGGAGTTTTGTGTATTCAGCCAATCCCTCTTGAGCACTTATTCAAGTACCACGCATTATTTCAGGTGCTGGGCATAAGAAATGTTGTTGGAGCAAAATTATCTTGAATTCTGGAGAACGAACAGAGGTGACACTTGACAAGAACCTTATAGACATCCATCACTAGCTATGGTAGGAATGGCTTGTGTCACATCAACGCTCCTTCAGAGACCAGCTATGACATCTGGATAAAAATACCGGAGCAAAATTGTTTGAAAGCCGGGTACGACGACTGTCTGGTGCAGCGACATACAAGAACACGTAAGGTCTGTTTCCTTTGCTTTATCCCCAGAGACTCTGACTCAGTAGGTCAGGCTTGGGCTCACGGCTTTGCTTTTCTAAGAAGTTCACGCCTGATGCCAATGCCATTAGTTCAAGACCACTCTGAATTACATTGGCAGAAGGATTACCCAAGCCCCCAAGGCTGAAGGCAAACCAAGGCCAGTCTCTCAATCATGTTTGTAAACGTGATGCTTAGCTCAGCACTCTTCACAGAAAGGGGCTGAATCCAGGCTGACGGAGCTGAAGCTGTACGTAGAGAGAAGCTGGTCACAAGGATGGGCCAAGCCGTTGGCCCCAGCAGAGAAGTGTTCATTGGTGGCGGGACAGAGATCCTGGAGGGATGTGCAGGGGCCCCTGGGGGCTCAGTCGGCTAAGCATCTGACTCTTGATTTCAGCTCAGGTCATAATCTCAGTTTGTAAGACAGAGCCCCGAGTGGGGCTTGGGATTCTCTCTCTCTCCCTCTCTCTCTCTGCCCCTCCCCTGTTCATTCTCTCTGTATCTCAAAATAAATAAATACACTTAAAAAAAAAAAAAGAAAGGATGTGCAGTGTGAATAAAGTACTGGATCTTGGGCATTCATTCATTTATTTATTCAATATGCCCTTGTTGAGCACCTACTATGTACGAAGTACTGGATTAGACATTGGGGTGGCAGAGCTACCTGCCTTCAAGCTGCTCACAGTAGGTGGGAGGGACTGAGGACAATGGACTATAAGGCATTTAGCTATAATAAATAAATAAATTTTGAATAAATACATATTGAATACTCCTGAGGGGTCAGACCCCGTCCTGGACGCTATGGAGCCAGCAGTGACCAAGCCTGGCACCATTGCCAACTGGCCCCCGGTACCATTCTCCCTTCCTTTCACAGGAAGGCTGCATTTCCCAGCCTCCTAGCAGCATGTGCCCACGTGACCAAGTTCCAGCCAATAGGAAGCAGCATGGCCAGTGGTCCAGGAAGTAGCGTCCTAACCACTTCCGGGTTAGGGCTGTAAAGGGCGGCGTCACGGCCCTGCTTCCTCCATCCCTTCCTCCGTTCCGCCCGGGAGCGTGCGCATGGATGCCAGCAGACGGCGACACCCCAGGGCCGACAGATCCCGAAGAGAGAAGGAGCCCGCATCCCCGGACCACGTCAGCCTTGATCCGCTAACACCTCAGGGGAGCCCATCTCTTGTTTAAGCCATTAATACGCTGGTTTCTGCTCCAGATGTGAACCTCACTAAATTCTGTCACGGAGCAAACACAACCTGGGCTCCAGAGGCGGCGTGGGGAAGGGAAGGATAAAGAGCCGCTGTCTCAAAAGAGTAGAGGGAAGCAACGTGATTGGCAAGAGAGAACCGGGATCCGCTCCCTTTCCCAGGAGACCGACGGACGGAGCTTCAGAGGGAGAAGAGAGACTGCGTTCGTCTTGAACTCGCCATCCGCGTAGGCCTGACTCTTCTCAGGACCGGCGGGGAAGCGCAGGGCCCCTAGGACACTGCATCACAGTCTGTTGGTGAGTGTGTGCTCCTGCGTGTGCGGCGGCGGGGAGGTGGAGGGGACCAGAAGCACATGCTCACTGGTTTGGGGGAAAACGAGAAGCTCTGGGAACCCTGAACGCTTCTGCAGAAGACACGCTTACAGAGATGAACTAACTTGGCGGCGGCTGTTTGCAGCAGAGATCTCGGGAATCTCAGGAATAGATTCATTTATGGTTATGATTCTCAGTGGCAGAGGCCAGACTGCAGTTATTCAGGGGTCTCCTTGATCGGGGCTTGATGGCCCCCAGTATGTTTCTCTACAACAGGCCCTTCACAGGTTCCCAAGTATGATCATACTGCCATCTCCCCCACCATCGCTGACTATGATGAGCCCCGTCTCATCTCCACGGTGACTACCTCACCCCTCCCCTGGCTAAACCCTCCGATGGTTTCCTATTGCACTTGGAGGAAAATCAACACCCCTTCCCTAGTCCACTTACCTGCCCATCCTCAGGTCCTTCCTCTCTCTCTTCTCTACCTGCCTGCCACGTGCCCAACACTCAGTCCTGCCTCAGGGCCTTTGCACATGCAATGTCCTCTGTCTAAAGCCTGTTCCTCCAGACCCTTGCAAGGCTGACTCTCTCTTAACCTTCAGTTCTGTGCTGATCACATAACTTAAAGTACACCCAACTGCCCTTGGCATCATGCGTGATGGACTATATCAACCTGTTTCACTTTCTTTTAGTATTTATTTCATCCCAATTTTTCTGTTTGGTACCAGTTTCATTTGTATTGTTATCTGGCCCCCTCCCACTTAGGAAACGACAACTTAACGAGACCAGGCTAGTCTGCCTTATTCTGCATTACTTGTGTGTCTCTTGCACCCGGCAGTGTTCATGTCCCCATAGCAAGGATATATTTGCTGAGTAAATGACAGAGAGGCTCGGTTTAGGTGGAATCATTCACGAAGACTTCACGGTTCCCTGAGCTGGAGGTAATCACCTTTCTCTAAATGGCAAAGCCATGTTCTCTGCCTCTCCTAAGGTCCTTAGCACCGTCTGCCTGTGCTGTGGATATTTATAGTTTTTCTCTCCCTTACCAGTCCTTTTAGGCTGCTTGATCCGGTCGCACGCCTATGGCATCCCGGTACCCTCGCCTCCTCCCAGCCCTTAGCAGAGTGCGTTGTACACTGTGACGCTCCATCAATGCTCCGTCGGGGCTGAGTGAGCGGCGTCGACTGTCGTCACGGACAGCTAAGAATAATCTGGAATTCCATGTCTCCGCACACCAAGCGCCCTGCTCATCACTCTATTCACAATGACTAGGAATCTCTGTGAATATGGTTTCCAAAGATGAATACTGCAGGGCCATAGAACTGAGTAAACACGGGGCTTCGCTGGCGGGCTGTTCTATGGTAATTTTCTCCCCGCATTCAGCATAATTGGACGGCTGCATCTGGGTTTTTTGGCACCAACTCTCTTCAAAGAAGAGTGAACGCAGGGAAAGTGGAAATTAAACGCGACGATCTCATTAGGCGGATGGAAAAACGACAAATGTCACAGGTCTCTCTGAGGAAGCGGTGAGGAGGAGGGGCTCTTTTCGGTGCTGATTTCAGGCAGAGTCGAAGGGGCTTCAAGGGCTATGACTTTGTTTCCTGGCTTGCAGGTTTCCACCAGCAGCCTCGAGGCTGTGTTAGCTGGTCTGCATTTTGCTAGAATGTTCCATAATGCTTTCCGTAATGCTCCATATATATATACGTATGGAGATCTTACCAGTTGTGACCTAGCCAGGGATGGGTTTGGGGAATGTTTCTGTTTTACCAGGTGTTGTAAGCACAACCCCCTTGGGCACCCTCTCACCTCTGAAGTCTCAATTACCACTTTGCCCTGATCCCCACGGGCATGCTCCAGCCAGACCCCACCATAGACTTCCAAACATAGCATCTGGCTTCTACTGCCTGGGGACATACCACCACTTTCCACATCCATCCACCAGGCAACTCCAGACCAAAGGTCAACTCCAACCACCCCTGCTCAGTGAGACCTTCCCAGAGCATCTGTCTCTCCTCCGTGCCTTCACTGATGTTGTTTCTGCCTCATCACGTGAGCTGTCTGTGTGTCTCCGCCTCCACACCAGATTCTGAGATCCCAGCGGCAGGGGCTGAGCCATAGCTATCTTTCTAGCCCTCCTGTCGAGCACAGTCCTGGCACAAAGTAGGTGCTCAATAAATGTTTATAGCCCACAGAATATAGGACACCAGTCAAAGTCCTGACTGCCACCCAGGATAGCAGAGTTGTTCAGTGCATGGGACTTCCACCAGACTTCCTGGGTTCAAATCCTGGATCTTGACTGGCTCGATCTGTGACCTGGACCTTGACCAATTTACAGGAAATCATTTCCTCGTCCCTGAATTAGAGATCATGATGATTATAGTAATAGCAATAGTCCCCACCCCCTAGGGATGCTTCTGGAATGAGATATTAATACAGCATGTGATATTCACAATGCCTGACCTGCGGCGCCTTTGCTGTTGTGGGCTGTAATTCATTTACCCATTATCAGTCATTTCTACTTTTCTCCTCTGTAACAAACACAATTGCTGAGAGACTTGGCTGATATAGTTTGATATGTAAAATTGCTTGTAAGGAGGGAAATAATGATATTAGTAAGGTCAATCGCCATGTCACGATAAATCACGAGCGGCCCCTCCCTGCCCCCTAATCCTGCCCTTCTTCTTTCCTTTACTTGGAAATTGGTGTGAATAAGTTGCTCTCTCCAAATAAGTCTGAGGACGTGGAAATATTAGCTTATCTGAATGAAAAATAAAATGATAATTTCTAAAAATTAGTCCAGGTACACTAGCAATAGTTGTTCATCTAACCCCTTGGACTAGGGTTGGTATAATCTACCTTTGGTGCCTAGTGCTACTATTAATACCATGCTCCATGCTTCCTGTCCTCAGAACGATCATCTCTGGTGACCCCCACCACAGCATACAGAGGAGGGGAGAGTACAGATGCGTTTCGTCCGCTTCTGATCCAAATAACACTTGTAAGCATTTTGCTGTATCTGCTTAATGTTTGTTTTTCCTTCAGATTTACTCACTTTTTAAATTTAAGCAAGTTTATTGGTGAAGAGAACGTACTATAGAAAAATGGAATGTGTATGCCACAAGTAAAAAGTAAGAACAACAAACAACAAGAGTACAATGAAAACAAAAACATCGTTATTGAATTCCAGACAAACACCATTGCCTGCTTAGAGCTCTTGGCCTGATATCTTCCCCATTCTTTGTTCAAGAAGATTAGGAAGAGTCAGAAAATTGTTACAGTTAACTAACTCCAAACTGAAACTTTCTCCATAGTGTTAGAGGAAGGAATGGAAGGCGGGGGGAGTGATCTTTCCCACTTTGTGTTTTCACGTTAGTTAATTCCATAGTAGCGTGCCACCTAAAATCAGCACAGCCCTTCTAAAGGCAGGTTTTACTGGTAGTACCCAGACAGCCCTCTGGAAACAGTGCCTGCCCCCTGGGAAGCCATTCTCATGGACTCAGTGGCATTGAACATCAACCACAGACAGCCCGGCCCGAACACAGTCGCAGCCCCTTCTTCTCCCTCACTGCACAAATCTGTCAGCAGAGCCTACGGATTCCGTCGCGTCAGATCTCTTGAATCCCTCCCTCATTGCCATCAGTGGTGCCATCTTCCTGGTTGAGGTCTTTGTCCACTCCCCTTGAATGAGTGCAGCCTCCTCCTCCAGCCTCTCTGTCCCCTAGAGCCTTCCCACTCTTGGTCCACCTGTCATGTGGCTGCCAAATCAAGGGCCTAATAAATGTTCACTGAGGGGCGCCTGGGTGGCTCAGTCGGTTAAGCGTGCAACTTCGGCTCGGGTCACGATCTCACGGTTCATGGGTTCGAGCTCCGCATCGGACTCTGTGCTGACAGCTCGGAGCCTGGAGCCTGCTTCAGATCCTGTGTCTCCCTCTCTCTCTGCTCCTCCCCCACTCATTCTCTCTCTCTTTGTCTCAAAATCAAAGATTTTTAAAAATTTAAAAATAAATAAACATTCACTGAATGTATGAGCCTGTGTCTTTTATTTTAAGTTTATTTATTTTGAGAGAGGGGAAGTGGGCAGAGGGAGACAGAACAAATCCCAAGCAGTTTCCCCACTGTCAACACAGAGCCCATCATGGGACTCAAGACCCTGAACTGTGAGATCATGACCTAAACCGAGGTTGGACACTTGACCAGCTGAGCCAAATAATAAGTCACCATTCAAAGGCATGGTTGGCATTTACCAAAGACCTGCTGGAGTGAGGATGATGTCTGAAACTCTGGAAACCAGAAATGCACTGATCCATGAAGTAGAGCGGGGGTTGGGGGGCTCTCTGGACCTCTGGGGGGTCTGTGGGGAAAAGGTGAAATGTCCTTCCCAACAAGAGGAAGAGCCCCTGCCTCCTTGACCTTGATGGTCACTCAGGGAACTGCTGCTCAGCGTCCTTCACATGCTCTGTTCCTCAGGGCTTTGAGTTGTATCTGCATCTCTGGCCCAGGAAACCGTGAGCTCTTTGAGGGCAACAACCGCGTCTCACCCAGTCTGTACACCCACAGTGCTTCGCACATCGAAGGGATGCCCCGTGCACGCTGGCTGGAGCGCATTGCTAAGTCGGTGGGTAGTGATTTCACCTCACCTGTCCCCAGTTGGGACCTACTTCCTTTGCCAAAGCTATTGGGATCCTTGTCACACGTCCAAGGCCTGAATATATCCTTGTGTGGTGTGCAAGCAGGATAATTCGTTTCTTGTTGGGAGATCTTGTCAGCCTCTCTTCTGTGGAGGTGCTGCTTAAAAAAATTAAGTCTTGGCAGAAAACAAATCCAGCTGGAAAGTGACGTGGAGAGAAGGTGAGGCAAGAATCTTAAAGGGGCTCCTGCACCGACCTCACACCTGCAGCTCCAAAATCTCAGCGTAATGGTAACTTCAGCTCACTACCCCTTTCCCTGCCAATGGTACAATGAAATCAGTGACTGCTAGCCTC